CATATGACTAGCTGTACTCTTATCTCTGTAAAAATAGTTGTAATAGCTAACCCAATATAAAGTCAATAAAGTATCACTACAAGTATGAACTTTAACAAAAATATATATATATATATATATATAATGAATATAGATAGGTACAAGTTAATAATTTTAACTAAATTATTTACAAATTCTTAACTAAAATCTATTACTAGCTATCTTCTTATAAAGCTGAACTAATGTTAATTTTTTCAGCTATTTCAACTACTTCTTGCAACTCAATAATTAATATTTTCTCTAATTTTTAGTCTATAATTACTAAATATTCTAAAATATATATTATTCTCTTAAATTCCGACAATTTAAAATTTAGCTTATAACCTATATAGCATACTTTATCTAATATTATCAAATCTTATAACTTTCAGATTCACTTTTATAAAGTACTAGTCTACTCTAATAATGCTCTTAATAATTTAGCAGATTTATTAGTAAAACAATATAATTTATCATTTATATTATACTTTAAGTATACAAGCATCTACAATTAATATTATATAATTTTTTGGAATTAATATTTTATTGAGCATTCAACTAGAAGCTTCATTAAAAATATCTGCAGAGCCTATATTTTAGTAATATAGTTTTCTTAAAAACATAATATAAATTGAAACTTCTTGGTTTTCCAAATTGATTAAAGATCAATTTGGTTATATTTTAATTGTAACCAAAAACTAGGACATAATGTTACTAACTTTAAATTTAACTATCTAAAATTATTTAAAATTAAATCTTTATTAAATAAACTTACTATCTACTTTTATTTTCACAAACTTATCTACATATATTCACAATACTAATTGCTTTAACTGTAATCTAGTTGACTCTTCAACTTACTAACATACATGCTTAAATCTATTACTTATCTTCAATATTATTTAAACTAGTATATCTAAATATATTAATATTACATATCTTGATTTATCTATAAACTAACAAAAAGAACTTATTCACAAAATTAGTAATCATTATGCTTTCTATCATATATCTTCTCAAACAAATTTATACTATCTTAATATTATATTTAAAAGATTAATTCCTAAATCTTTAATTAATACAGCACAAAACTTTAACATTTTATATAAACTAATCTCACAAATAATTATTACTATTCTTCTTAAAGTTAATAAACTTTATTATGAACAAATATGAAAACCATCTTGTATAAACTTTGCTAACTAAAAACAACAATAAAAACTTAAACCATCCCACTCTAGCACTTACTTTAATTAAATCAAAATAATGAAAAAAACCTTAATTATAAAAATAATACTTATTCTTGTCTATGTGGATTACTTAACTAATTATATTTTAATTCTAACACTTATTCACTTATAAACTATGTTATTTATAAAATTAACATCTGGATCATTATAAATCTAAATGAATTTTGACACTCTAGTAAATTTAGATCACAGATAAATATGTCTGAGCTCTTATTCTTAAATATATTTTTTATTTATTTGTATTTAAAGCAATAGTTATATAGTTAGCAGTTTAACAGTCTAACTCTAACTGCAAATGTTGGTTTTAACTATAGCATTATATAGAAAATTACTTTTTGTATATAGCAGTTTTATGTAGCTACTAACTTTTAAACTACCAATAAAAATACAAGCATGACCTTACCTTAATACTAAAAAATAATAATAATAAGCTAAATTAATAATAACTAAAAAACTCTTTTTAACAATCTTTTGGTCAATTATAACAAAAATTAATTTATTAACCTAAATATTTTACAGTAGTTTTCATGTAAAAATTTAATAGAAAATTTTTATATTAGATTTGTGATAATCAAAAGTGATTCAATAAGTAATAAAATTGTAAACTGCATTGTAATATTACTAAACTAATAGGTTTGTAATACATAATCATTATAACAAACTTGGAACTGTTATAGAATCAGTATTTAAGTTTATTGAAACTAGAATAAATTTACAAAAATCAATATAAGTCAGACAAATAGTATCTCTTTTCTTTTTAATAGTTCTGCTACTGCTATATTTGAAAATAGAAAATTATTATAATCAGAAGGTTATATATATGAGATAATGATGCATTCTGCAGGAGGTAGTACAGATTTTGCAAAAGAGATCAAATGCATTTCAAATTTAATTAAGAAATATTGTGATTCTTTGAAGTAAGCTAACAACCTATGTCAAAATAAAAATTTTAAAATCCAAATTTAATAAAAAAATTTGTATCTTTATAGAATCAATTTAATAAATTTTCTATTAAATGTTATGGGTACTCTCTCAGAAAAGGGATTATGTGTTTTTGTTAGTTAAAAACAAATTTAGAGTAAATCAGTTATAATAATTATTAAGGAACAAAATGAAATCAAATTAAAATTAATCTTAGAATTCCTTTTAAGCTTTTAAATTTATATATCCTTTTTTCTTATTAACTTTAGTCTAAATTCTAACCCAAATTTGCATTCTAAATAAATAGACTAAATCTAATGATGTCTGGAAACTATGGCTTCATATTTAATAAAAACAAAGCCTATGATTTAATCCAATTTTATTAGTTTGTCAGTTTTATTAGTAAAATCTCATTTTAAATATATTTTGGTTTGATCTTCTATAATAATTAAAATTAGTTATTATATATTGTTGTTAATACATAATTTGTATTTATAGAATATATTTGTATACAATTAAGTTTACTGGAAATTCTAATAATTATTTTAGCAGATTAATGTCTTGGTCTACTAAATTATTGAATTCATTGAAAGAAATGGTCATGATCACAGATTAATATCTTTCAAAGTGTTTTGATAAGAATTCTTTAAAATGTAAATATGATCTTATTATTTATAAAATTAAATTAATGTCTAGGTAAGTTTTAACTACTCTAGTATATTTAGGTTGCAGATAAATTAGATAAATTAGATAATAATTTTATCTATAGTCTAAGTTTTATTCTTGTAAATTGACTCTAACCTGTATTAACTCATATAGTTGCTTATAACAAATTATTAATAAAGATAAAGACAAAACCTAATCTTAATACCAAAAAAAAAATCAAATTAATTAAACATTCATGCAAGTTGCTACAAGTCTTTAAAAACATAAGTCAATATTGATAAGTAAATGTAAGAAATATGTAAATTAAAATAATAAAATTTATTATACTGTAATTTGGATTCAAATTTAAAAACTAATAGCCACAAATTACTGGTTGGTCATGTATTATAAAGGCGGCGTTCTTGTAAAATTATAAAACATTTATTTGTATTTGCAGCTGTTTTCATAAATTTCAAGATATCTAAAAATCTGCACTTTTCCCAAAATTTCCAGTATCATTTATAACTTCTTGGGCACCGCTATGCTCGAAGCAAAGACCCGGAAACAATAGTGTAGTTTCCGAAACATTAGGTCATAATAAGAACAATATCAAAAAGGTTTCGGAAAAAAGTAAATATTAGGTGCTTCAGAATTTATAAAAACAGAAACAAATTCTGAAAAGCATTTATCAATAAAAGGGCTTTCTGCAATATAATTTGAAGAAATGGAATTTTGGAAAATGCATTTGCAGATAAATAATTTGAGTGACGAAAAGGGAAAACCTGTAAATCATTTCACTCAATGATTTACAGGTTTTCCCTTTTCGTCACTCATTTATCGGGAATATGTGATACCGATTAACGTCAAATTTATGACCTGATTGTTATTATTATAGCTTTGGCAAAATTAGAATTGACTTCGGAAATTTAACCCAGAACCATTGGGCTATCTCTATTAAAGTATTCAAAAACTTTACCAATTTCCATACATTATTAGTCAATAATTTTATTCATATCAGGTCAACACGAACGAGATATAATTAAAAAAAATAATGTAGTAATAAATTTCAATAAATTTGATTAGATTATATGGATTTTATTAATTAATGTGCAATACTGGACTAGATTGATTAACAGCCCTACTTTTGATTCAAATTAAATATATAAACTTAATTTCCTTAACATATATTTGAGCCTTGTTACTATTTATAAAAGTTTGTATTACTGTTCACAGATTACAAACTATTACCGAATAGGAGAAAATATGATTATTTTAAAAATCAGTCACTCCTCAAACACAATCTATACCCTTTCACAATATTCACATCTAGGTCTTATTCAATAACATACGCTTTTCTGCTTAAATAATTTCTACTTGCAATGAACGAAATGACTTTGAAAAGACTTAATAATGTAGGTCATAGTGTATTCTTCAGAAAGACACGGGAATATGCCTAGGGTTGAACAAATTCTGTAAGTTATATTTTAACTTACATAACTTGTACTAAGATATTTATTGTAACTTACATGTAACTTATATCAAAATTTGAAACTTATACAAAATGTCAAACTGTAAATATACCTTAGTCATTTTATCTCCTTTTGAGGCATTTTACAAATCGCGAATGCAATTTATTCTTAAACACTTTGAGTAAAGGCGTCGCAGCTACCCAGAACAAGGACTTGGTAGTTTATACAATGTTGTCCGCTTCGTTTCTGAGCTTGAACAAGTAAATCTGTGTAATTTAAAGTTAATACTCTTTTGATGCTTTTTTTTTTCTAGGAGCTGCATGGGCTTGGGCGAGACCCACCTCCAGGTTGCGGCGCTGGTCCTATTGGAGAAGACCTTTATCATTGGATTGCAACAATTATAGGCCCCGTAAGTAATATTTGATGCCACTAGTATTCATTGGATGATTAGAATTGATTTATTACTTTCATACGCACTAGACCGAATCTCCATATGATGGTGGTGTATTTTTTCTTGACATCCACTTTCCTAGAGATTATCCATTCAAGCCACCAAAGGTATTGTCTCTAATAATATGCTATGATTGGGATTTGTCTAGCAGAAATAAAACATAGATATTTGAATTGTAAGGTTACTTTTATGACAAGAGTTTGTCATCCGAATATCAACAGTAATGGAGTTATAGGCCTAGATATTCTAAGAGACCAATGGTATCCTCAGCTTACCCTTGATAAATGTAAAATATATTCGTTTATGTAAAATATATTGCAATTGTTTCTTCTATATAAATTCTAATATAAGTTAATAATTATCCTTTTTAGTGCTCTTGTCTATTCAATCGTTCTTGACTGATCCTAACCCATGCATGTATCAAACTTATGCTATCAAACTTGTTTTATCAAATATGTACGCATACTAAAATAATTTAAAACTACTATAGACGATCCACTTGTACCCGAAATTGCTCATATTTACTTGACCGACCGCGCCCGATATGAAGCGAAAGCAAAAGAATGGACGCGTAAATATGCTAGTAAGTTGATAATTAAGTTGGTAAACCATTTTTTGTACATGTTTTCTTGTATATTGTTATTTTCACTCATGTAATTTGTTTACGATTTGAATTTTCATCTAAACAATATTAGTGTAATACGATATAGAGGCCAAAGGTTGGCAACGCAGAAGCTTGGTAGCTAAATTTAATGAGTTCTTGTTAATTTAAAAGGGTTATAACAGTTTTTAGACTTTGTTAATCACAATAATGTATTTGTCTGCACTTATTGAACACCTCAATCGATCTTAAATATTTTTGCCCTTTTATTTTAAAGAATATTTTGAATAAAATAAAATCGTTTATTTTATTTTATTTTACTAAACAAGAAATTGATTTTGGCATTAAGTAAACTTGTTCCGCACCTAAAATTATATCAAATCAGTAGAATTGTTTTGATCTTACCTGAAATATGAAAAGAAGCTGAAGATATAATTGATAGAAAATCTAGAATTCCACTATCATTATTATAAAATTGGGGGTAATTGTCTCTTTTTGCAAACTGCTATAAGTTAGAATTGATTAGTAAAGTTTTAAGAATTATTAGCTTTTATAAAATTTTATTGATAAAATTTATAAAATCTGATAATTGTAAGATTTTACTAATTAATACTAACTTAATGTACTAAATAAACTTGTTCAGCATTTAAAAATGTATTAAATTAGTAAAATTGGGTTGTTTCGCTTAAAATTTGGAACGAAGTTTAATTTTGAATTTTTAATTAAAAAATTTAAATTTAAGCATTTTTTTTAAATTTTAAGAAAAACAAATTATTTTACTAGTTTAATATAATTTTAGATGTTAAATAAGTTTACTTTGTATATAAAATTATAATTAATTAGTAAAATCTTAAGAATTATAAGATTTTATAGCATTTTATTAATAAAATTATATAAAATCTTTAATTCTTAAAAATTTACTAATTAATACTAACTTTATACATTAAAATAAACTTATTTAGTACTAAAAATTAAAGTATATATATTTAAATTTAAATTAATTGGCTAATTTTAAACTAGGTTCAGACCAAACTTATAATTAAGTTTAAGTTTAATTTAAAAATAAAAAAAAGATTAAATTTTGAATTTGCTTTAATTCTATTTAATTTTTTTTTTAACTTTAAGCAATTACACTAGTATTTTATTAAGATTCTTAAAACAATATACATATACAATTATATAGAATTTTTTAATATCTAAGTCTAGCATTACTTGGTCACCCTAATGCAGTGTAGTTACTTGGCCACTTGGCCAGCCAATGGCCAGAGCCATTGGCGAAAACAGTCAAATAATATATTAATAAATTATTTACTAAGTTCAGATCATAGTATGTTATTATTATTGTATAATTATTTTTACTTTATTGTTATATGCAGTATATAATAATTATCTTCAATATTAATTAAATGTTATAATTGCATTATTCATATTAAATTAAATTAGTTGCATAAGTTTGATCTAATTTATTAAATTTATTAAACTTCAATTTTCAATTTAATTAATTGCATTATTCACATATTTAAGCTCTATTAATATTTATTCTTATATTTATAATCATACTCCTAACTGATAATTATAACAATATAATTGAATACAAAATTATTATAATTTTAACAAATTATATAGATTTTCTTAAGATTAAATATATTGCAATTAAATTTTTCTTTAAAACCTAAATAATTTATGAAATAAATTTTAGTATTATAAATATATAAAAAGCATCATTTATAAAGTTTTATTAGCTTGTATAATAAAAGTTAATTAAAATTTTTTATTTAAAAATTTAACAAAGTTATTTATAAAATTTCTTCAATATGTAAATATTTATTTAATATTAAAAGGCATATCCAAATTATTAATGAATATTTTACAAATATTCTATTTTGTTTTAATATTTATTGCAAGGTATGTTTGAGTAAATAGATAATCATCAATATCTACCTCTAAATTATAATTCAAATTAGCACTTGCATTTTTTTGTACTTTATTTTTTGATTTAGTAAATTTTTTACTTATTAATATAATTATTAAAATTTGTTACATATTTATTTTTATTCATTTTATTCTTCAATTTTTCAGATTTTTTATATAAATTTTCTTTATTAGATACTTGTTCTTTAATATACACATTTTTGAATTTATTGCTAGAACTATATAATTCAGTAAAGTTTGTATTATCTAATTGATGCTGATAGAAAATTGAGGCCCAAAGCTTGCTTATATTTAATGTCTTTTGAAACTGCATATATTATAAATTTATAAATTAGTTCAAATTATTTAATAATTATATAATTATATTAGTACTGTAAAAAAACCTGCTATTAGGTTTTTAATTATATTTTGTATTCAGTTTGTTCTCTAAATGCTGTCTAAGAAAAATCTAATATTAGACTTTTAATTATATTTTGTAACAACTTTTTACAAATATAATTGAAAATTTTAATAATAAAATTTTACATAGATGGCACTTATAAAACAAACTAGACACAAAATATAATTAACAGCCTAATGATAAGTTTTTTCTTGGCAGCACTTATATTATATTTATATGTAATCAAACTCATTAATTAGTATAAAGAAAACCTATACATAACTATAAACATTCTACTGAAACTGCATTTATATAGATTTTAAATATTTTTTATGCTACAAAAACAAGTTCTTTTGCACTTAGTGCAGCCCAAGATCAAAATTAGAATTTTTTTTTAAATTAGCCAATTGATTGTTTATTAAAAAGAAAAATACCTATTTGAAAATTCTTATATTCATATAAAATTAATTAGAATTTATTATGTAATCATGCTTTATAATAATATATAAGTCATTTACTATAATATATATGATTATAATTAGTTATATTAGATTTGAATTTTGTTATTTGATATTTAGAATAAAGAAATCAAGACAAAAAAAAAGTGGTTATTATCCTTTTTTCCATTTTGACTCTAATCAATTTAAAATTCATTATTCTAATTCTGAATCTTTATAACTTTTTCAAAATTTTGCAAAATAATTAAACCTATATAAAATTTTATATAAACAGATCTTGCCTTTTTGAAGAAGATTGCTGATAATATGATAAGTTATTAAAATATTAATAAGTTTTTTTAATATATGGCATTAACTTTTATCTAAAAGGATTAATACAAAATCTTATAAAAAATATAATAAATTATTATTTAATAGTTCAAAGAAATCAAATTTAAAGTAAGATCTAACATTATTAAAAAAACCTATATATATAAATATCAAAAATATAATTAATATAAAACTAAATTATAATTTTTTTTTTAACTATCCCTGATGTATTTCATCGTGGGGTGCATGTGACACTCTAATTTTCTTTATTAACTTTAATGTTTGGAACCTACAGGTTTACATATTTAGTTGCTACATACATCACCA